TGAGGCTTCTCCTTAAATTACCATACAATTTTCTATTACTTAATTTAATTTCACACATAAACATAGAGTATTAAAGTGAAATTATTATTAATTCCTTATCGATCATATCTAAATATAAATATATCGAAAGGTGGTTTCAATTTGGTTTGATTATCAGTTATTGTCATAATAGCCTTTCAATATTCAAATTAGCCGATCGGAGCCGCAATTTTAAGGTGCAATTTTCGTTATATTTGCAATATTATGTTTATATTAAAAGGTTACTGTGACCGCGTTTAGTTTAAGTAATTTCGTCTTTATATGTGCAGGATAATAACATAATAATAAAACGTAGGTATATAGGAAGTGGTATAGGTTTTAGTAGCTTTTACTCAAGTAACAAATATTCATTCTTAACGATGGATTCAAAAATATTTTGCTTATGTGTATGTATGTATGTATGTGTTGGAGGTGTCAGTTGCACTGCGACCAAGGTTGATCTATTGTACCCCTCCTTCTGCTGCTAAGTTCGGGTTTCCTGCTTAAAGCAACCCCTCTAGTCCTAGGTCCTTTAGGAATTTTAGGATGTCTAGCGGTTCCAGCGTTGGAATGTCTTCCAGCTGTATAAAGGGACTTCCCAGGTTCTTCATTCTTGAGTGGCTTACGGCATCGCAGTTCAGTAGAAGATGGTGAGGTGTTTCTTCAACGTCTTCACAGAATCTGCAAGTGTTACCTGCTTCCAACCCCAGATTATGTAGGTGCTTATTCAGTCTGCAATGTCCCGAGAGAAACCCGGTTAGAGTTTTGAGACTTTTCTTGCTAAGGTTGACCAGCAGTTCAGATCTTTTTTGGTTGTAGCTACCCAGTAGATCTTTGGCCTGTCGTAGTCCTGGTTGGTCTAGCCATTGTTTGTTCCTTAGCCGGTTCTCTTCCTTTTTGAGGATTTCTTGCAGGTGCGCATTTCCGACGCCGCAGAATGGTTCTGGCCCAGTGAAGGGAGTGGTCGCTTCCGTTTTTGCAAGTTCGTCTGCGCATTCATTGCCCTCGACTCCTATGTGTCCAGTTTGTTGCCCTTCCCCAGCTCATTGAGTTTCTGTAGACATTCCCATACTATCTTAGAATTGATTACCGGCGAGCTCAATGCTTTGATAGCTGCTTGGCTGTCAGACATTATTACAATTTCTCGTTTTCGGTACCTTCTGTTCAGGTTGAACTGCACGCATTTTCCGATCGCATGAAGTTCGGCTTGGAATATGCTTGGTGATTTGCCCATTGGCTCCGAGTATCTGGTTCGTGGCCCGAATACTCCGGCTCCTGTCCCCTCAGCAGTTTTGGAGCCGTCTGTGAATCATTTGATGGTGTTTGCTTTACGGGACTGGATACATTCTATGTTCCATCTGTTCTTTGTACTTAGTTCGATGGAAAAGTTTTTCTCGAAACTGAATTTATCAACAATCGCGTCTTTTGGTAAGTCAATGAGGTGTGCACAGTTTGGGAGAGGGAAAGCTCTGCCAAAGTGCGTTTTCCCTTGTAGATTTATCTTCGCCAGTCTTACAGCCGTATTCATAGTCAATCGCCAGCGAGTCGCCAGGGAGTCGCCATGTGCTGGGCCAAATACGGCGACTCGCTGGCGACTTGGTGGCGATTGACTATGAATACGGCTGTTAGACATGATTCACTGGCAACCCGCTTCACTATTGCGTGAAGTGGTGTTAGGTCTAGGATGACTTCCATTGCCGCGGTTGGGCATGTTCTCATTGCTCCTGTTATGCATAGACATGCGAGTACCTTTCCTAGGGTTTTCCTAGCCGTTACTAGCTTACTAGCGGCTGTACCAGGCTACCGCTCCGTAGGTGATGATAGGTCTCACTATTATGGTATACATCCATCGTAGGATCGATGGGTTACAACCCCACGTTTTGCCCGCAATGTTTTTACATACCATGAGTGCCGAAATTACTTTGCTTGTTATGTTCTCTATGTGTCGGTTCCAAAGGAGTTTAGAGTCTAGGGTTATTCCTATGAATTTAACTTCTTGTTTCCAGTGAAGCCTGCTTCTATCGAGGCGAATGTTCCTCAGGTATGGGAGTTTCGTTCTTTTTGTAAATGTTACCAGTGTGGTTTTTGATGACTTAAGTTTCAGTCCCACAGTCTGACACCATTCCTTCGTGGTTCGGAGTGCTTTTTCTATAAGGTCACAGAGTATTCCTTCGTGTTTGCCTCTGGCTATGATGACAATATCATCGGCGTAACCAAGGCAGTTGAAGCCCTGGTCTGTCAGTGTATTTAGTAGATCATCGACTACTAGACTCCACATCAAGGGTCCCTGTGGACATCCTCTCGTTATGGTTACTTGTATGGTTTGTTCCCGCACATCCGTTCCTGCAGTTCTGTTGGCTAACGGTTCACACATCCAGGTGGATGTGGTTTTGTCCACTCCTTTTCTGACAAGCGCATTCTTTATTGACTCATGAGAGGTGTTATCGAAAGCCCCCTCTATGTCTAGGAAGGCGCAGATGGCTACTTCTTTATTCAGCAGTGTGTTTTGGATGCTGCCAGTGAGTTCAAAGTGGCGTCTCTTCTAGAATATTTGTTCTGATATAGTTATTTACAACTTTCTCAACTGTCTTCAGTAAAAACGACGTGAGACATATAGATCTGAACGACTTCGGTAGAATGGCATCCTTTCTCCCTGCCTTTTTGATGAAAGTTACTTTAGCTCTTCTCCATTGACTGGGTATGTATCCGGTCGCTAGGCTGTATCTATAATGAGTTTGATTAGATACGGCATAATTTCATTTTGCCCTTTTTGCAACAGGGCTGGAAAAATGCCGTCTACTCCAGGTGACTTGAACGATTGAAATGAGTCGATCGCCCAAGCCAGCCGCTGCGGAGTGCAAAGGTTCTTGGCAACCTCCCAGTTTTCTTGCCTGCCTTCAGTACTATTGGGTATAATTCCTGGAAAATGGGTTTCCAGTAGTAGAGCAGCTCGTTGCGCTTCGTTTTCTGTATAACTACCGTCTGGTTTCTTAAGTGTCCATGGTCCTTGCGTCCTGCCTTTTGCCAGGGTTTTGTATAGTCTGGCTGCTGATGGTGTTTCTGTGATAGATTCACAGAAGTTCTGGAAGTTTTTCCGTTTGGCCTTCCTTAATTCTCTGTTGTACTCAGTCAACCTTTCGGTGTAGCCCTGCCATTATCCGTCCCGTTTGGCTCTGTTAAAGAGACAGCGAACCTCGGAGTGACAGGTGACTATTCCACCATGGGCAACCTTTTTTGTTTACTTGTTCCTTCACAGGACAACTGGATTCGTAAGCCTCCATGATTGCTCCGTTAAGGATTTGAAGGGTTTCTTCTACTTCACGTGTGTTCCTGCAGCTAACCTTATTGTGTTTGAGGTTGCGTTGCAGTTTGCTTGTGTATTTTTCCCAGTTTGTGTTTCTAGGGTTTCTATACGAGGCAGTTCGTTCCTGCACTCCTTTGAGTTCAAATATTATGATTCTATGATCAGAGAGAGAGGGTTTATTCGAGACTCTCCAAGTCCTGATCATTTGGTCAATATTTGGACTACAAAGTGTTATGTCTAACACCTCCTGTCTAACCCTAGTAACAAATGTTGGTGTATTCCCTACATTAAGTATATTTAGGTTTGTTTGAAAGATAAATTCTAACAGTTCCTCACCTCTTAGGTTTGTGTCGGTACTTCCCCAAATAGTGTTGTGGGCGTTGGCGTCACAGCCAATTAGAAGCGGTAGTTTGTTCCTGTTGCAGGACTCGACTAGTCTCTGTAGGTACTTCTTCTGCATCTCCAGCGAAGTAGCCTGATGCCAGTACTAGGTCGCGGTGTGGTGGGTCAGTGATAAGTTTAACCCGAACCGTAACCACGCCCCGCGACGTAAATTCTGAAAGACATAGATGATTAATATTTTCATTCAGGAGAATGGGGTCGTTACACCGACTGTCCCAGATTATTTTTGCCCCTTTACTTGACAGACCATTGATCTGCCCCTTGTGTATCCAAGGTTCTTGGATTAGTACGGCTCCCAAATGTGCCGACGTGAACAACCGCGCTATGACAGCAAATGCTCCTTTAGCGTGATGCACCTAGGCTATTCATTGTGGTGTAATTCTCCATCTTACCTGTTATTGTTGTTTCTGGTGTGGTGGAGTGATGACCTCCTAATCGCCCAGAAGCATTTTTTCTTCCTCACTGATGGGAACTTCCTCTGCCGGAGTGAGAGTTTTCTCCCCCTCCTCAAGGCCTTCGTCCACTTTCCCTTCGTCTTCTTCTGAAGGAAACTCCGGTTTGGACTCCGAGGAGGTGGGCTCCTTCGGTTCCTCTTTACCCTTTCTCTTCTTTAGGCCGTGTACGGGGATTTTCCCGAACCTATAGAAAAGGTTGTACCCCATTTTTTTAATGGTTTCGCAGGACCCAACATAAACAGGTAGAAATAAATAAACTCCTTGCAAAAAAAACCTTTCAAATTTACCAGTTTCATTTACCTTTATATCTTGGCAGAGATAATATCTGGACAATGTTGTCACGTTGTTAACAGGTCAACATTTTTCTAAATTTAAATTCTTCGATGACTATGAAATTACTAACAATTGGCCCATGGTTAATAGGAAAGTTTTCCAAAATCTAAATCATAAGGTAGCTACCTCAGTACTAAAACGATAAAATTTTAAATTTTTTTGGAGTTCGAAACCTACCAAAGGACCCCAAAAGCGTCAGAATCGGATTAGTATTTTTCGAGATATTCAAGAAAATCTACGTAGGAATATTTCCTCGGATATTTCCTACGCATAGCTTAACCAGGCCAGGAACTACGTACTTTGATAAGGTATATCTGCTATCACAGACATACGATCTTTCAATCACTTAACAACACAATTTTTTTGTTTGCAATGATGATACCTTTAAAATATCGAAATTCTAGTCACAATTTTCATAATCGCTATTCGGTGAAAATATTTCGAGCACCTCAATTGCGTCATTTATTTAAAAATAATTTTTGTTTTAGAAAGCTCCGACAGGTGTATGGACTTATGGTCTAAGCCTAACAAACCGCAGATCGAAAAACCCATTTGGTCACGATGCTTATCTCGCCCAGGAGACATTGTTTACCAAATACAAATTTTAGACCATATCTGATCGTTTCCTTGTAAAAATGGTTATTTAAATTTCCGATTGTTCGATTGTTGCTCGAAAAAATCCGGTGCGTGGGTGAGCTTTTTTTTTTCCTGGTAAGCTCTCACTCCATTTTGGAATGTCCGAACTTTCGCCGAAAACTAGAGAAATTATTATAACTTTTCGATATTGTTACGTAAGATGAATTTTTTGGGTATTGTTGGATGATGATAATGCAAGAAGTATTTATTTACTGGAGCGTTAAAATCGTGCAGGGATTATGTCATAAAGGACGATGATTCTATTTGGAAAAAGTTTTGATGTTCAAGACTCTTTTGGTAGAATTATTAAATAGTTCATTTCTGCATTGATGCCAATTACAAAATTAAAATGAAGCATTTTATTTTTTAATTAAGCATAAAAAGCGACTTAGTTATCCTTTTAAGCTTCTCATAATTATATTCAAATTACAGTCATCTTTTGGTTTATATTTTAATTGGGAATAAACTGCGTCAATTTACGACTGGGTACCACCACAAGTTGGAAGCGCGCGTGTTATAAAACAGATTTTTATTTTATTTAAGGACCTGTTTTCTGGTCAACTTTGGTGCTCGAGAATAGCATTATTATTATAATAAATGCCTCGTTTTAGCTACCTGGCTTACGTTAATTTTTCTTTTGCAACCCGGATTTTAAGACTCCTATTTCGAGACAAATTTATGAAATATTTGGGCATAAAGCCGATTTTAAGTCCCCACTTATTCGAATAAGTGCATCATAATTTACGAACGAGGAGTTAAGACGCTATAACGGTTTATATTATTGCTGTTATTGCACTTCTGAGCCCATTCCGGTGAAAATAATCCAGCGTATCATTGCAAATTACCAAAATTTGATGCGTTATTTCCCACGAGAGTGGAAAAAAAAATGCGTTTCTGACGCCCTCCGGCGCTTCGTCCAAACCAATTAGGTAATTAGTGACCACCCACTTCATTACACCGCAATCACGGGAACCCGGCTTTAAAGCGTAATTAGTCGCACTTTTTGAGCGAAAATTCATCGAGGCCCCGGTCATTAGGATCAACGCCACGAATAATAATCGGGTTAACTACACAGACGATGATGGTCTGTTAAAATAATTTTGAGCCCTATCATTTTAAGCTCGATTCATACTATACGTACCGGTACCGTCACGTTACCGTACCGTCAACCACCATTGTTTTTCAATGTAAAAATATTTGACGTATCCTTGACGGTAATGCATAGTTATCTCTGTAAAATGTCAATACAAGCATCCCGGACCCTCATTCTCGAAACACAGGGTGATATGAAAAAAAATGGAGAATCTACTAGCGAGCATGAGTGAGTGAGTGTATGCTTCATTTTACATGAATAAAACTCATACATTCGTATCTCAGTCTTAGCTTAGTTTTTCATAAATTATCATTTGTGAAAACGGTTTTGCTGTAAAAGCAACCGTTTGGATTTTCAGTCTGTCAAAGATGCAAAAAATTCAATATTACCGAAACAGTTGGAGATAGGTATATATGACGTATATGAAATATGTCCAGAATTTTCCGCAGAATCCAGAAATGTCATCATATATAGGGAGAGTCATTTGAAAAAACACAACTTTGTGTCACCACTATTTATTATTATTACTAATATTTGTTTTGATTTAGTATCAACTGGTCGTCGCAGCTTAATATTTTATTAAACCCCATAAAAGATGCTAATTTATTCATATAAAATTCCATAGCAGTGGCGCCAGGCCCGACGAATTTTACTTTTGGATTTGTTAACATCGCTGGGCTTATTATGCAATGGTAATTTTTTTTTTTAATGGACTGGAAGCTGGTGCGGTAATTGACATGTTTCTTATGGTGTAATTGAATTATTTTTTCAAAATTTTATAATGCAAATTAGACATGCGAAGATGCTTGATTGATTAACTAATAAACAAAGTGAACAAATAAATACATGAATCACGAATAAGGATTTACCTATTCTTGCTTGACCCTATCTGTCAATTATAATTTTTTTTTCGAAGGCGAATATTATTATAGAAGCATATTAGTAAACCGTAATAATGTCCAATTAATTTAGAAGTAAAAATGCATGTCATAATATTTAAAAAGGTTTTGCGCCCACATCAATATCCAATAATCCTTGAAACCGAAATAATTTGGCAAAAAGATCTCTTTGTTAAATAGTGACATTAATTTGTAGGCACGATTTAGGTTGCTAACGGATTATATAGTAAAGCGCATTATAACAAGCAGTCTATTATTTGATGGAAAAAGGTGCGTTTCTTTTGCAATTTTTTTTTATGCAATTATAATGTAACTGTAAAGCTCTTATAATTAAAATGTTGAGAAAAATCGTTGTCTGTCTTCGGGTCCGAGAACCCATATGCATCCTGGCCAAAAAGTATGAGCTTGTCATAAGGTTCAACATAAACATTTTATATCAATTCGATGAATTAATGGATTTATTTTAATTAAAATATGATCCTTTCAGATTGTAGTGGTTATTCAGGTCACTATATCAATATTCAAAAAAAAAAAAAATCTTTTCTCACAGCAACTTCCGTTATATTTCCGATTTCTTCCCATGAGAGATTATATCGGGTGCGATCACCTCTCAGTCTGACCCTTAATAGACTGTCACATTTTAACAACCCTAAATAAGGGCCATCTCTTTCTCGGGTACCTGCTCCAGATTCTCATCAACCTGATTCTCAAGTTTTACCGATGGGAAATAGGGTGAGCTTCGAATTACGTGAGATAATTTTGCATCAGGCTTTGCACTAGAACACTAATTATTTAAATAAGTGTTATTTACAAATCAGTACTAGAGCTTTTTTCTGAATTCAATTCCATACTGCGCCGGTTTAATTACAAATCCGCACCTTTTTTAATTCGTACAAATGTTAATCTAATTAACACTTACAAGGTTTTCCTTTAAAAAAAAAAGTACATTACGCAATTTGTCCTAACCAATGTTAAGAATCGATATATATTTTCTGCACGATTAGCTTCGTTTAAATTAAACATGCAATTTCTATTCAAATTAAGTTATTGAGAATTGATAAGCATTAAATCATTTTAGAGCGAAATTTGCATGGGTTTTGCATGATGCGATGGGAGAAAAAATGATTTAATGCCGCAGAACAATTTCAGCAATTTATGGTTTATTGTAATTTATAAAATTCAAGACTGTAGGGCAGAGAAATTGATTGTATAGGTACGTATTTTTATTATTGGTATTAGAATAGTAAGTTTGAGGCTATTACATTATGACGGAAATCGCAATAATACTATTTTTTTTACTACTAACCTGAGAAATAGACATTATTCAATCTATTTTTCTAAGAAAAAATTGAATTTCTCCCCCTAGGTTAATAATGAAAATAATGAAAAAATACCTAGGTCAATAATGAAAATGACGTCATGACGCAAGGATATTGTCATGTTTCTATTGGTTCAATTTCAATTTTATACGTCAATTTGAAAAAAAATACAGGTTTCTGTAGGTACATAGGAAGTTATATAAGCTGTTGATAGAGGGCAGCACTTTCAAGAGGGCGTTCATAAAAAATAATTAGAACACAGATTTTAAACAAATTTTTTATTTTCTACTAGCAGTAGTAAAAAAAATTCTATATATTCCTCGGTAGAGAGAGTCATTATATACCTCAAGCATTATAAACCTCGGCGCTGCGCGCCTCGGTTTATAAAAGCGCTCGGTATATATAATGACCAACTTCTCTACCTAGGTATATAATATACTATTATTTTACCCATATATGAAATGTTGTCATTACTGACTTTTCAAAAATTTGAAAATGTCACATTTCTGTCTTTTCATTTTCCTGGTCCATTACCTGTCCCAGGACGGGAAATGAGGACGGGAAATATTTCCCTGTTCCATTTTCCGTCCGTTGACATTTGGTTCTCACGAATTTATTTTTTTTTTTCAAGAAATTATGGTTAAAAATAAAATAGTATACAAACCTTGACGGCAAACTTCATTGCTGTCTGGAGGTTCAGTTCATAGAGAAGTTCAGTTTATCTCGACGCTACGCCTCTCGATAAACTATATAACCTCTCGATCAGCAATGAAACATTTCCCGTCTCGGATTGTAATATACTATTTCAATCCCTCAAATCAACCCTCCACTACCCCCTGTATAATTTTTTTTTTAAGCCTCTTGACCATTTCCAACTATGAAAGTGGAGGTAACAATTTTCTTTCCCTTTCTAAGGATCGGTTGTTGCGCAAAAATGTACCCTTAAACTGTTTGAATACTAAATTTGAATTAATAAATCCTAATAGGCCTAGGTTCAGTAAGACACCCTTAAGAAAGGCCAGCGCAACAAAGGGCTCGCGGCTACTCAGTGGTGTGGGAGTAGGTTCAATGTGTATGTTTAGAACTGAAATTTACAAGACCAATAGGAGGCAATGTATTATATATAGTACCACAGTAATTATTATTAAATGCAATAGTAAAAATTACCAAAAGGTAGCAAGGACCAATTTGTAATGGTCTTAAATAAGACACTCCAATATATTCAAAAGTTACCAATAAAAGTTTGACTACCTTACTCCAATGAGAGTGCAAAAGAACAAATAAGCAATTGATAGTATTATTTAAAACCTGTGCATGCTTATACCATGGTATACCGGGGCGGGTTTGTACAAAAATGTCACCTTAAATATAGTACATTAAAAATCATTGGTACTGTACAGCCATTGTAATAATTAAGGCAGTAAAACAACCTTGGAAATATACCAAGTAAATATAAAAAATACCATTAATAATAATTAAAAATAATAATTAAGAAACATTAATTAATTTATGGATACATCACCCCTTGTGGTCCTCCCTGCAGTCTAAACACCCATTTCTATAACTGTCTCTTGACAGCCTCACAGCCTGGATAACAGACCCCATCAATTTCTATTGACTCCCTTCTTAAATAGGGTATATTTAAGTTCGAAATTCAGTGT